AACAACCAAAGCATAAAACTAACCACAAAAACTAAAGTTAAAAAGAAGAGAGAGGCGGTCATTGATACTTTTTCTTTATTGACTTTTAAAGAAAGTAGTTATTAGATGGGTGATAATTTTACATGTGCTAAATTGAAAACATTTAAAATATATAAATATAATAAAAATCACTTTATTTGTTATTAATTGATTTTAAATTTGATGTGTCCAAAAAATTCAAAATAATATTAGAGTAGGAATTACCCTCATTCGTGGAACCCTCGGTCAACCTACTCTTTAGTTGATTTATACTATGTGATAGGTCTGTGATCCTAGCACATGAGGAGAGTATTAAAATAATGATGATTTAAAATTTACCAAATTGAAAATATCATGAGCGTATAAATATAACAAGTACCACTTAACTTATTGTTAATGAATTTTAAGATGGATATTCGATTTAAAAGTTCAACACAAGTAACCTCACTTGTTTAACTGACATTCCATATGTAAATTGGGTTTAAATGGATCAAGAAATTGGGGTATGAACAGTGGCTATGGTCTATTTGGTGATGGTGGAAGAAATTTTTCAAAAAGCTGTTTTATGTTATTTCCCTTCTCAATTAATAAATTTAATTTTCCTAGTAATTAAATTATTATTTCTTGATTGTTTGAATAAAATATTGAACCAAATTTGCTTTTCGTCGAATTTGAACTCAATTAAATTAAATAAAAAAATTGAGTGAATTGATGAAGAAAATCTGGAAATGAAAGTAGAGTGATAAAATGAAGCATTAGATTAATAAAATATTGCATTTATTTGGGAAGGTTTGGCCTTCCACCATAGTTAGCATGGTAGGAAACGGGAAATTGATGCAAATTTTCACAGAAACGAACAAAACGTCACCGTTTCGGTCTAGTTACAAGCCTTGAAGATGATAACATATGCCATGGTATTGAACCAATCCTTTTTTTTTTTTCATTCTTTGAAGACCAAGCAAGTCAAAGCTCTAGTTAAACTACCATACATCACCGTTTTGTTATTCGACAGCTTCTTGCTGTCTTTGCTAATGTCAGGAAGCATGGCTAAGCTGTGTTTAGTGGTTGATTGAGTCTTGCAGTGTGTTAAGCTTAACCTATATATATATATATTAATGAATCAAGAAATTGAGGGCATGCATAGCCATTATTATGCTGCATATTTTCTTCTTTCTTCAACAGTTGGTTCTTGTTCTTCTGTTTTCTTATTCTTGTTCTGCCGATGGTCTTGAATGCTCATTTGCTGACTTATTTATTGATGTTTTATGCCCAAAACAACAATCTGGTATTATGCGCAACTTGCCTTGGATAAAATCTTGCTGCAACTGGAAGAGGTGGAATGCTCTGCTCATGCCTGAAAAAGTTGTCTGGATCAACTTTGGTTTTCACGTTCACCAATCTGTTGAAGTTGTCCTTCAAATATCTGACTCCCCAAACACCAGCCTGGATGAAGCTTGTGTTGATATTCTTGTTCATTCCAAGATCAAGATCGCTGTAATTCACGTATGCACCTCTTGGAAACATTGAAACGTAAGGAGCCATGTAATTGTGTAGCCTCCGAATCCAATCCATATGCTTGGACGCATTCTTATCCTCATCTTGCCATAGAGTCAAGTACTGGATCATGAACCTGTTACCTTTACGGTGAGGGAAAGCAATTTCGGATTCAGAAATCTTGCCCATCATTCCACCGAAAGGATTCCATATAGTCACCGGGCTGTCTTTCTCCATCTGTCTTTTCCATAGGCCCTCGAGCGCCGTTTCTGGTATAGCTTCTTTCACGAAGTCTGATTTGACTTTAAAGTAGTTCTTGAATGAAGACTTACCCTGAAGTAGAATTTCAGGAGGTGTGTTACTCGAGAAGCCGGCAATGTAAAGCACGGATTTGATCCAGCTTGTTTCGATACAGTCTTTCCGTGTCAAGCCCAATTCAGGGAAGCTTTGTCCCATTACTTGGAGGAGCCTTTCAGCATCACCAAGAAACAGAGCATTGTAGGATGTTGTGACTGTTTTCCTACCCTTTTTGCCAGCATTTGCCACTTGAATGATGGCTCTAATGAAAAGATCCTCATCAAGCTTATCTGCAACTTGTTGCCATCTATACAGGATCTTTGTAGCACCTTGTTCTAAAGACTTGGTGACAGGCAAAACCGTGACAGTTTCTGGGACTGGAACCAGTTTTATTTTCCACTGAAGGATACTGCCAAAGCTCTCTCCTCCGCCTCCTCTAATAGCCCAGAAAAGATCTTCGCCCATGGCTGCTCTGTCAAGAACTCTTCCATGAACATCAACGATTCTGGCATCAATGACGTTATCAGCACAAAGGCCTTATTTTCTCATCATGGTACCATATGCACCTTCCGTGATGTGTCCCCCAATGCCTAGGCTAGTGCAAAGACCAGCAGGGAAGCCATGAGTCTTGCTTTTTTCAGAAATTCTATAATAAACTTTACCAATATATAGTGGAACCAGCTTCAACCCAAGCAGTGTTGTCATCGATATCGAGGTTGATGGATCGGAGCCTGGCAAGCTCTAACATAACGGAAGGTGTCTCAATTTTAGATGCACACGAGAGGCCCTCATAGTCATGGCCTCCGCTGCGAAAGCTTAGGTGAATTCCAAGCTTTTTTGCACAAATGACAGCAGCTTGGACATGAGATTCTATCAAAGGTGTGAAGATAAATTGGGGCTTTGGCACTGAAGGCTCCATGTACCTAAGGTTTTGGGCAGTGGAGTTTAGGACAGAAGTGAATGAAGAGTTGTTTTGGGCGCAAACAGCAGAGGTTGAAATGACATACTCAGAATTGTCATCAAGGCATTGGATAAAGTTTTCCTGAATCGAGGTAGAAGTTGCCCATGAAGCTGAAAGCAGGACTAAAAGTCGTGAAGAATAGAAGTGCTTGGAAATGCCATTCTTCCACTTGACTCTTGTTTTTCGTTTTCTAAGTTACTCTTATGGAGGAGCTATGGTATGCTTTGATCAACCAAAACGTGTGATTGAGCTAATCCTAGCGTCATGACAGGGTCAAAACTCTGCTTATGACTATCCACTATTAGTTTCTTAACCTTTTTTCTGTGGTTATTTTAACCTCCTAGGGGAATATTTCACCTAGGCACAGAACATTAACCATTTAATTTGCAAAATGTTGCATGGGTTTTTCCATTATATGTCCACACTTACATATGTTCTAGAAGAAATCAAGCATAATTGAGAAAGCAAAATCTCTAATAATTGTAGAATCTGCTAATCATAGAGATGAAGAAAAATGTGACAATGAAATAGCAACCTCCCTACCCTAATCCTTGCTCCATTATACTAATAAATATCAATTCTGATGTCTCAGACATCCCTGCTCTGGTACTTCCATACATTTCCTTTCACATTCTTGTTTTGTCTTTTTTTGGGTTTTATATACGACCAGACAATCAGAAAATACCTAACATTGGATATGGATACAAGGCCCTGATATGAGCAGCAGATGCCATCTAAGACCATCCTTTCCCTTATGTTTACCTATTTTCTCTAAATCACCCATCTGTCTCTGTCAAAATTGTCTCATTTTCCAATTTTTTCTAAACAAAGAACATGCCAAAATACCATTCCTAGCCATTTTTAAGTGTAAGGTCCACTCACATAAGAAGGAGAAAAGGGTGTGTAAACGCCAGAATTGTCAAAGATTTAGATGGAAAACGATGAATATAAAGCACTGGTCCACTCACCAGCTCAAGTGGGAGCAACGCGAATGTGAGTAAAGTGGCAGTCAATAAGAAGAAGATTATAAAAGATCATGGCTTAAGGAATAAGAATATAATAAAGCATTAAACTATCCACAAAAACTAAAGTTAGAGAAGAAAGAGGCAGCCAATAATACTTTTTCCTTTTTCATTTTTGTGATTATCATCGGAAGAAGTTATTAAAAGGGTAATAGTTTCAACTCTGATAAATTAAGAGTATTCTTAGCTCATAAATCAAATAAATATCACATTATTGTCAATTGAGTTTAAATTGGACACATATCGTATAAATTTAACATGGTATCCGAGTGTGCTCATTTCTCGTTCATTAATTCATGACACGTGATAGATTCATAATCTCTATACACAAGGAAGAGTGTTAAAATGATGACAATCTCATATCTATTAATTTAAGAGTATTTCAAGTATATAATTATATTAAAGACCGTTCTACTTATTATTCATTGACTTTTAATTAAATATTCCTCTTAAAAATTCAACAAAAAAAATTTTACTTTTCATGTTTAATTGACATTTTAGATGTAAGAATATAATAAAGCATAGAAAAAAAAGGAGACGGTCATTAATACTTTTTTTTTTGTGATTCTTACCGAAAATTAGTTATTAAAGCGGTGATAGTTTCATGTATATTAAACTGAGAAGATTTGAAATATATAAATATAATAAGAATCACTTGACATATTGCCATTGGTTTTAGATTGGATGTGTGTTCAAAATATTTGGCTTGATATTAGAGCAAGAGTTGTGCTTATTCATTAATCTCTCTATTGATTCTCTCTTCGTTGATTTATATATTATATGATAAGTCTGCAATCTTTACATATGATGAAAGAACTAAAATAATGATAATTTTATACATGCTAAATTGAGAGTATTGTGAGTATATAAATATAACAAGTACCACCCTCCACCTATTGCTAATTAATTTTAAGTTGGATACTCAACTTTTAAATATTCAACAAAAGTAATTTTGCATTCCTTGTTTAACTAACTTTCTAGATGTAAATTGGGTCTCAATGGAGCAAGAAATAGGGGTATGAACAGTGGCTACAGTCTATTTGGTGAAGTAGGTGGAAGAAAAACTACCAAAAAGTTATTTTATATTATTTTCTTTCTCAACTAATAAATATTCGATTCCTAGTAATTAAATTATTATTCAAGAAGGTGGCTATGGCCTCCCACCATAGTTAGTATTGTAGGAAACAGGAAATTGATGGTACTAAAAATGGCAAAGAGACAATTAAAGCGCTCACCAAGACAATCATGGAACAAATTTACACAGAAAAGAACCAAGACGTCACTGTTCTAGTCTAGCTACAAGCCTTAAAGATGATAACATATGTAGTATGTACTAGTATTGAACAATCCTTATTTCTTTTTCTTTTCTGACAAAAGCAATATTTGTAGTACAAATCAAGGATTAAAGCGAAATTGAAGCCATCTGGTATTATTGCCCAACTTGCCTTGGCTAAAATCTAGCTTCAACTGGTAGAGGCGGGATGCTCTGCTCATGCCTAAAGAAGTTATCTGGGTCAACTTTGGTTTTCACCTTCACCAATCTGTTGAAGTTGTCCTTGAAATATCTGACTCCCCAAACACTAGCCTGGATGAAGCTTGTGTTGATATTCTTGTTCATGCCAAGATCAAGATCCCTGTAATTCACGTATGCACCTCTTGGAAACATTGAAACGTAAGGAGCCATGTAATTGTGTAGCCTCCGAATCCAATCCATATGCTTGGACGCATTCTTATCCCCATCTTGCCATAGAGTCAAGTATTGGATCATGAACTTGTTACCTTGACGATGAGGGAAAGCAATTTCGGATTCAGAAATCTTGCCCATCATTCCACCGTAAGGATTCCATATCGTCAGCGGGCTGTCTTCCTCCATCAGTCTTTTCCATAGCCCCTCGAGCGCTGTTTCTGGTATAGCTTCTTTCACAAAGTCTGATTTGGCTTTAAAGTAGTTCTTGAATAAAGACTTACCCTGAAGTAGAACGTCAGGGGGTGTGTTACTCGGGAAGCCAGCAATGTAGAGCACGGACTTGATCCAACTTGTTTCGATACAGTCTTTCCTTGTCAAGCCCAATTCTGGGAAGCTTTGTCCCATTACTTGGAGGAGCCTTTCAGCATCACCAAGAAACAGAGCATTGTAGGATGTTGTGACTGTTTTCCCATCGTTTTTGCCAGCGTTTGCCACTTGAATGATGACTCTAATGAAAAGATCCTCATCAAGCTTGTCTGCAACTTGTTGCCATTTATACAGGATCTTTGTAGCACCTTGTTCTAAAGACTTGGTGACAGTAAAAACCGTGACAGTCTCTGGGACTGGAACCAAATTTATCTTCCAAGCAAGGATGATTCCAAAGCTCGCTCCTCCCCCTCCTCTAATAGCCCAGTAAAGATCTTCGCTCATGGCTGCTCGATCAAGAACTCTTCCACTAGCATCAACGATTCGGGCGTCAATGACATTATCAGCACCAAGGCCATATTTTCTCATCATGGTTCCATATGCACCTCCAGTGATGTGTCCCCCAATGCCTAGGCTTGTGCAAAGACCAGCAGGGAAGCCATGAGTCTTGCTTTTTTCAGAAATTCTATAATAAACTTCACCAATAGTGGCACCAGCTTCAACCCAAGCGCTGTTGTCCTCAATGTCAACTTTAACTGACCGCAGGCTGGAAAGGTCAACTATAATGAAAGGTGATTCGACTTCGGATACATAAGAAAGTCCTTCATAGTCATGGCCTCCACTCCGGACTCTGAGGTGAATCCCAAGTTCCTTCGAGCAAATGACAGCAGCTTGGACGTGGGATTCATACAATGGCATGATGATAAACTCCGGCTTTGGCATTGACGGCACCAAGTACCTGAGGTTTTGGGCTGTCGATTGCAGGACAGTGGTAAATGAAGCATTTTTTGGGGTGAAAAAAGCAGTGGAGAGGGGGATGGCAAACTCAGAATTGGCATCGAAACATTGGAGAAATTTTTCTTGAATCAGACTTGAAGTTGGCCTTTTACACTTGGAGCAGAAGGAAGCTGTTCCTGAACTCGAAGATGATAGCAGGACTAAAACTATTAAAAGAATGGGAATGCAAGGAAACGCCATTGGTTTTTTCTCGTCTTTGTTCCTTTTGCTTCTGCTTAAGAATATGAGCCTTTGATTAGCTCTTATAGATGAGGCACCGTATGCTTTAATCGTGCCAAACGTGTAATTGAGCTAATCCTAACGTCATAATCAATTTCAGGCGAAAGAAACAATGGCCAGCACCAATTACTCGAGTAATTTATATATATATATAAACGAAATAATCTGGCCTACTGCAAATCCATGCGTAAAGGCTCAAATAACAGACGCTGCTAGGCTAAGACACTGCTACTTTTCTAATTTTCTTTGAGCCAACAATATCTATCCTTTACGACTTGAATTAGACCTGGCAGGGTCGAAGTTCACCATTTACTCAACAGGAAATGTCAGTCCAAGTCAACCTTGGGTCCATGGAAGTTTTGAGTCTATTTTTTTTTAGCCCTCCCCCTTTACTTTCTTCATCCCACCCAATACACAAAGCCAAAAAGGGTGGAGCTGATGAGAGCTTTATTCCATGTCCATGGTCACTTTCTCTTGTTTGCTGTTTTGCCAGGTTTGTTTTGATCGGGTCTAGTCATCATCTATATACGGTACATAAATCCAAATAAATAGAGGCAGACAGAAAATAAAAAGATTTATAAAGTACAATAATCTTTGATGCACGTTGCAGAGACTGTATAAAACTTGCTAAAAATCAAAGACTGTCTGACTTGGATGTAAATAGTATTAGGGACAAGAAAAAGAAATAGCAACCTCCTGCGTGGCCTATCACTCTGTTAAATTTCAATTATACATGGTGATGCAATATTCTTGTTCGGAAAATATATTTACACACACATTTACATAAACAGACGCATATATATAAATATTATACTTTTTAAATTTTGACTTTAAAAAAAAATAATTTTACCAAAAGCTGGATCGGTCGACCTCATGTTAATAATTCCAATATCAATACTTGTTGTCCGTAATCACCTCTATGCATATAAGGTCAATTAAATTCAAATAATCAAGGTGAAATGATTAATATAAATCAATCATTATTTACTTAATATCACCTTCATGAATCAATGTCAAAAGTCACTGGTCAATTGACATGTTTTTTTGTTAATTATATCATATTCAAATTTGATAGATCATGAGTTAAATATATATATGTAATTATTAAAAAATTTTCAATAACGTATAATTATTTGATTCCTTGTACTTTACTTGATTATAAATAATATATACAAGTGAAATTTCATTCAAATCTTTGTCACCGACATTGATTTAAAGAAAAAAAAAACAAGAAATTATTTTGAAAATTTGGGAATAAAGAAAAAAAAAAGATGATGCTAACAATGGGACCTCATGTTCTTCATCATTAGATTTATGAAAGAAATATTTCAATAATTTATCAACACTGTAGACACTTTGATAAGGGAAAGCTTTAGCCTTTTATGTGTAAAATGCAATGACCCATTAAAAGAAGCAAAGGGGCAAAAAAGAAAATGATGGGCAATGTGGCTTTAATTTGTTGATAATAGACAAAGGAAGACATGACTCATAGATAATGACTGCCATGGGCTGATGGGAGGCCATTTTTGCCTTGGTTTACACAACCTTTGTTTCTTTTAAAGTCATTGTCAATCTCGACAGTTCTTTTGCCCATCTTACTTATAAAATAACTATTCCCATCCTTATAAAGTCTCTTTAAGAGGATTAAAAACAGTATTTAGTCGTTAAGCATGGCTCATTTGGTATTTTTTTGGGGTCTAAAGGCAATTTAGAATTGATAACGATGGGTCTATGCAAGATTCTATAGTAATTCTTTTATTATCGACGCATGGGAAAATAAATAAAATAAAATTATATATTTTTAGGTGAGTTATGCTCAACGTCAAGCTTACCTAATATTCTCTTATTAATTTTTCCAATAAAAAACTTTTCTTTTCTTTCTTTTTTGACTGATGATAATATAGTTTGATGAGACCCATACTTAAAACCCTTTAAAATCCTAAACCATAAGGTTGACAAGTAGCTAGATATAAAACAAATTACTATTTTATACACTGTGCCATGAAGTGGTATTAAAATATTATCACTTATTTATTCAATTACTATACTAATGTGTTAATTTATTCGAAAATACTAGTGCTTAGGTAGCTAAGTTTCTAAAGATACACGTAAGATTCCTTATTGATTTATTCTAATGTTTATTAATAAAAAATAAACCATTCATTTGATATTCTTGTCTTAGCAATATTGAACCCCACTTTTTTCCTTTGTCGAGTATAGTTTCAAAAAATTAATATATTATCATATTTAACTGAGAAACTTTAATTATTAAAAATCTCTTAAAAAAACAAGTAAGTATGATTTATGTGTATTGCAAATTCAATCATTTGACGGATTTTCTTGTAAATATGGCTTTCTATTATCTTTGGTATGATGCTTTTGAAGGATTTTTATAATGGTAGTATTTCAATTTTATTAAGTGATGTTATATATAAAAATTTCATTATCACACATTATTTTGACATAAATGTATTATTCTTATTTTCTTTTTTAAAAAATATATTATTATCTAATTAAAATACTTGAAAAACATAATGAGAATTTTATTTAAGTTTTCCCCATGACTTATACACATCTTTTCTTTTCTCAAATTATCCTTAGAAAAAAAATAAAACGATCGAAATCAAAACTACAATTGTTAATTAAATTGACATAGATGTTACGTTAAACGTTTCAGAAGAAGTAGATAAAGTATTATAATCTCACATTCTACAAATACAGGAAATTTAAAAATTTTATATATGTAAACACTAAACACCTTAATCAATGCAGTAATTATTTTAGAAAGAATATAATAACCCCTGACATAGACCTGAAACTAATATCAATATTATATTATGAAAGTAAATAATATAAATAATTTGCACAGAGTAAAAATGTGGGCAAGATTAAGTCCATCATTATTTCAAAGTAGGAACTTAAAAAATTATATGATCCCCACATGATCATGATCCACCCTTCTGGGCATTGGCCGTCCCTCTCAAACTCCTTCCAACATTTCAGCACAGTTTGTTGGTCCAAGCAGCGACCATGTAATGGCGCCGGTTACTGCGCACACCCCAAGAGTATCTGCCACCCAAATCTGCGCCACGAAGAACAAAGTTTCATATTCAACACTCAAGGTTCAAAAAAGAGTAAAATCTAACCTTTTAGAGTGCATCATGATCACCAAAATTCAACTGGAACTCCACCTACTCCATCGCATAATTTGCTTTGAAATTGTCCTCTAGTGGACCATTTAATACTCCACAAGTTCTTGTTCTCGTACCACTTTCCAGGAAAATCACTGGTCAATCCCTTCCCGAATGGACTCTTGATTGTAATCCCCGTGTGTATCTGCAATCCTTTGGAAAGTCTACCATTTCGGTGTGCATCAATTCAACTCTGACTATCATTGTATCGATATTGCCAGAAGGACTTTGGGTTCCAATGTTTTCTCTTAGATTTTGTGGCCTTGAGTTTGGATAGCAATAAACCAAATTGACTTGGTGGATGGTTGCTGAGTACAGATTCTTTTCCCATTCCCACAGCAAATTGTAGATACTGCTACTATTTCTTGCGGAGTATGATCACACTGATGATTTCTGGGTGCACTTCGAAAAAATCTTTTGTATCTGGGACGTTAGTGTTTTAAGATTTCTCGAAATGGCAATTTGATATCTCAAAAGTTTTTTGTTTTTTTAAAAGGAAAATATTTGAGACAATGTTTTAGAAAACCTTTGAACTATTTAAAAATTTTAATAACTATTTATGTTTTTATTTTTTTCTTAATAATTTATATTTCTATTACGTTTAATTAAATTTTTATATTTTTAATTTTGATCAAAACCACTTAAGATATGTTATCATATTACATTACCATCTATTATATCATATCAATGTTAAGTGATATAAAAAAGACAGAATGATATATTTCGATTAATGATATTTAGTCAACCATTAATTATAAATATTTATTTAATTTAAAATAAAAATATAAAAAATTAATTAAACTTAATAAAAAAATAATAACTCACTTAAATAATTTTAAAAGTTTTTTATATGTTATATCAAAATTTAATTGGTGAGAACCATATTCTTGTATTTTATATTTTATATTTATGGAAACAAACCTTTACCATGGTTATCACAATTATCACAAAGCTTGAGAATGTCATTCTTTTACACAAAAATGGTAAGGTGAAATTTTCATATTGTGAAAAATTAAAAATAATTTTTTGAGGTAAAATTACTCTTCAAGCTCTTTTCATTCTTCATATCTCAAGTCGAGTCGAGTTTAAGTATAGATTTTGGAAGTCCAAACTTGACCCAATTAAATTATTTTATTAATAAATAATATATATTTATTTATTGAAAATAAAACCCACCCCAGAGATTCCATTCCAAATAGAAAATAACAAAGATTGCCAGTGAAGATCACACTGAATAAGGGGCAGTACATCATATATCTTGCACCCTGATCTTCATTCTTCAATCACATAAGATATCATTTAAATTAAGATAAATCAATTAAATGAAGAATGAAGTACGACACCTTTAGAATCTTAAGTTATCCACTAATGATGATTGACAATAATCTTTATTATCTCATACGGATTTTCCAACAAAAATAAATGTATTAAGAAGTCATTATCTGTATATTTTTTTTAAATAATATTTTAACTATCCTTAACTAGTATTTATAAGCACTCCTTATCACAAATCAATGTAATTAGTTAATATTATCTTTGTTTATTGTAGTAGCATAAATTAATTTGAGAGCATGTTTCATCTTTAATTTTTGGATTTTGGTTTGCTTCATTAATGAAAATTAATGGTTGGTCAAACATATTAAAGGAAAATACAATCTAAATGTCCTTTTTGGGTGCTTTGCATTTATAACATTCAATCTTTTTAATAAATGCTTGCATCCATCACAATTCATTGAATGTCTTTGGGATAGGAACCCATTTTGTCTATTTGACCATGTAACTCACTTTCATATTTATTGTAGACAGCTCTATTTTGTTTAGGATAATTTAAGGCAATTTTGCAATAATGTTGTGAACTAAATCAATATTAAATAATACTTTAGAAATTTATCATATTAACAATCAACTATTATTATATATTTAATATGAAATATTATTTCACCTAACAATTTAATGAACACTGGTGACCAAAATCCTAAAATGATAAAGAAGATCAAGGTGGAGCCAAGAATTGTTGTCGGTGGAGTCAATAAAATAGTATTGGTTTCTTTGTTTATAATGTTTTTCTACTTAATGAAATATTGAAGAAAATTACATCAAATATAATTCAAATTTCAAACATAAATATTTTTTTACAATTTATCCATAATAAAAATTTGTTCTCAATAGTTTCATTAATAGTACTACGTCAATTTTCTGAGTAAATTGCTTTTTTTTTCTTCGGTAATAAGATTGCATTTGCACTATCAAATAGCTATTTATCTATAAGAAATAGATTACATATAATACAACAGACAAACAAATTTAACATAAAAATAATTTAATTTCATAGATAATAAGTACGATGGCAATAAAGTGGAAGGAGAGAATTTCCACAAATAATAAATAAATTTTTTTAATATTTATAAAGGTATAAACGTGATTAATTAAAAATCATTATAAACACATGCTAAAAAACTTTTTAACATAATTTCTAAAAACACTTATGAACTATTCATAAAAACTCGAATAAATTTTTATTTGTTTATTACGTTCAATCAAATTGTTATATTTTTATTTTTAAGTCCAATAAACTTTTATTATTATTAATTAACTAATTTTTATTAATTAAAATGTTATTTATTATTCATATCACTTGATGTTGATATAACATGTGAATATGTCATAATAAATAAATGATGTAGCATGTTGATGTGTTATAATAACATAATTATATAGTATGTCGTTTGGGTATAAAATAACAACTGACATTTTAACTTATAGTAATTAATCAATGATTAATCATATAAGTTTATTTATTTTAAAATAAAATGCATATAAACTTAATTGAATAAAAAAAGATTATTTAAATCTTTTTAAATAATTGAAAGATTTTTTTCAAATATTATGTCAAAGTTTTTAAACTTAGCAGTTAAACTTATAGTCTTAATGACCCCACATTATAATAAACATTAATTCTTTTTATTATAATATATAAATGATTCATTTTCAAAAGTTAATTGACCCCACTCAACAACAACATTAGATTTGGTTGCCTCGTGACTGAGGAAGCCAAAATGTCTCATCGTGGAGATGAAAGGCAACAATATTTGAACTTGGTCGTGTAGTTGAAAGTTCAACCTTTTCTCCCTCCTCCTATAAGAGATAGATAGTTTGGCAGGGCATGGAACCCTTCAAAGGGAAGTTTAGAATTTTGGGTAGCAATAATTTTTTTACTCTTTTCATTGAAATTATTTCTAAATTAAATTCATCAAATCGATCATGAGGCAAAGGAAAGTAAAGAAGTGTGAATCTGTGAAGGTAAGTAATGTGATTGATGAAGGAAATCCCGTGACTTAATTAGGCAAGTTAATTAGTAGTCACACTCATATGATATGACACTTTAGGCAGCATGTGATTCAATTCAAGCCATATGCTTTGTGTTTGAAGTTTGATATCTAAGACTTCTACCAAGGCTTTGCAAATTAAACTCTAGCAAAATTGGAAGCCACCAAAGCGTTTGAAGAAACCTTTTTTCTCGAACAAGTCTATTTTATTAATAAAAAAAATTATAAGTTGAAAGCACCTTCACTAAAAGAATTGTAACACATTAAAATAATTTTCACCATCAAACACAGAAACATAATAAGTCAAATCAATCTTCATATTTGAAAATAATGTCATGAAATAATTAATTTGAATTTCACTTGTTCCAGTAACAGAATCAAGATGGAAGTGAATGTAGGATGGCTAATTAATCTAAAATCTTTAAATCTAATCAATCCTTTTTTTTCCTGATATTAGTAGCACCTATTTGGTCTATTTCTCTAGAATTTGAATCTTATTAGCATACTTATTACATTAAAATATTAATTTCAACATATGATAAAATTAATGAGCTTGCACCTGTTTACAAACCCTAACATCGGTTTCCTGGTGGGAGGGAATACATTTACTAAGACAAATTTGAGTTCTAGTTATGCTTATTTTTATTAACTTTTTTTTTTCATACATAGGTTACATGTCAAAAATTATTGTAGGCAGTGCTTAAATTTAAGAAAGATATTTTGAATATTAACTATATATGTGTGTGTGTGTGTGTGTGTATGTGTGTATGTATTTGTATTTGTATATGTATGTATGTATGTATGTATAAAATTGAACTACAAAGAACACGAAAACCCAAAAGCCAATTGATCTCTTGGCACATCTAAAAGGCATTGTTTACTTGAAGAAATTATTTTCCTCACTCCATATTTGCCAAAGCTTTCCCCAGCTGCGGGAGAGCCACACTTGTACGCCAAGCAATTCTAAAATTATCGCCTCCAATGAATTTGGTAACCTTAAATTATATCCACAATATTAATGCTTAGGTTCCCAAGTTAAGGAATGCTTTAATTCTGTGATTGGGCCATTGAAAACTACCTCATTTTTTGCTTTGAAGGTATCTAAAACAGCCATCCAAGTTCTTTCTTCAAGTGAAAACAACACATGGAAAATTTTGGACTTAAGGTCAGTGAAGTTGGCCTGGTAGGTAACCCAGGCCCAAACTTTATTATTATCTTGGTTATAAATGGGTTTTGTTATTTTGTAATGATAAAAGAATAATTGTTGATTTCGTATTATTTTTTATGATAATAAAATATTTCAATTAAAAGAAACGATTCCTTGAAATGAGCTTGTGTTTTAGGGGAAAAGGAAGTATATAAGTATGTTCTCATTCCTCAAGCACATTTATTTTAAATATGTTTTATAGATTTAACGGGAGATTTACTCATTTTGAGGAAAGTATACAATAGTGAACTTCTTTTTTTTTGAAAAAGTTAGAGAAATTAATCATTTTTCACAAATTTTTCTACCTTTACCAAGCAAAAGAAACTTAAAGTTGAGAATTTCATTTTCAATTTTTCAGTATTTTTTATGAACCAAACTTAACATAAATGTATGATTTGGAACAAAGTTTTAATATTATAAACATAGAAGAGAAGATAAGAGGGAAAAAGAAAACAAAAATGATCATCACTAAAACTCATGTATGGAAAAGAAAATAAGGGTCTTCCAATAAGTTGTTTTAGGACTTGTTTCACTACAAATAATTAGGGTCATGTTCAGACATTTGCTATCAATTACTATTTCTAGAGTCATGATAAGATTTTGGCTCAACTGTATAATTAAGTGCTTCATATGAATCTGAGAATTTGATTAGCAATGGTTTTATGGTCTAAAAGGCACAAGCCATAGACCCAGCAACTCCAAGATAATCCTTTCCTATCAAGTGAACTATTGGAAAGGGAGGCTCATCAAACTTAGAGAGATCAAAAGGAAGGTGATTCATATTTCGGCAGAAGCAAATAACATAAGCCAATGACATTTTATGCAGGAACCAGAATTTGACAGAGAAGTTATGGTAAATGTCTTAAATCTTGTTATCTTGTAATGATTGAAGGAAGAATTCCACATCTTTCACTTAAAACAGAAAAATCCAGGTTAATCTCTTTTGCTCTCATCTCCTTCCCCTTTTTTCTTTCACCATGTTTCCATTTTTCTGAACCAAAGGCAAAGAACCTCCCTCATCATGGTTCATACCTGGGAGGAAAAAAACTATAAGAAACCAAAACATTGGATGCGTATAAATTACAGCCATATAGTGAGTGTAACCACAACCACAATAAACCTTGAGTCAAACACCAAAAATTTAAAAAGGAAAGAATTCTTATTGCTTGATTAGCAAAATTAACCCATATTTTCTATCAACCTCATTCAATTAAGGATAATTAAAAATCACCGAGAATCTCGTTTGAGAACTTTTATCAAGAGGAGGCCTTAACTGTTATTTTCTTTTTGGTTCCCATAGAGTTCCAGTTTATGATCCCTTCTTACCCTCATATCTCACATTAATTCTTTCATATTATTAAGAACAAACTTGGTGCTTTCCCTCTTCAAGGCATGTGTTTTTTTACCATCAATCCACTGAAACAGCGCAAAATACCTTATGTTAACTGATGTACCACATAAGAAATTCACAAATAAAGTTGAAAACTTACTGGACATCCTTCTCGGTTTCTCATCCTCAGACATCTTCAACCTAGACAAGCTCTCCCTCAAATCCTTAAAGTCAACCCCATGAGTCCGAGACTCAGTCACCTTCTCTGTCGACGACCCACCAATCACCAGGGATACGACTGGCAGGGTTTTCATTGGAAACCACTTGTTTTGCTCAGACTCTTTTATATAATTCGTGCAATGAAATATGGGGCTGTGACTGTGAAGGTGTAGCAGAGGTATCAGTGGGAGGTGGCACGGCAGATCGTCGGCGGAACTCGAAAAGATTCTTGCGGATTTCCTCTGAGGAAACGCTCGTTAGGATGGGTTTTGAAGTGGGAACCGAAGGATTAGTGCGGTTTCGTGAAAAGGGGGAAGCAGGTCTTTCCTGTTGATGCTGTTTGAGGGCAGCTCCGATATTGCCCAAGTAAGAGAGTGAAGAGGGATTATCTCTACTGGAGCTATTGCCCGGGCTGTTACTGGAGCTATTACGATTCTATAAGATAAAAACTTTTTCTTGACACAACTATTGCAAAATAAACCGTTACAAGAACCTTAAACATCTTCGACAATGTTACCAAAAACTCTGTACTCTAATATGCTTCGCAGTCCATTGATTGAAGAGAACAAGTAAAAGAGAGAATAAGTCGCTGCATATCGTCGGATATGCTTTCTTCAACATGATTGAGGTTCATCTTAATGAAGTAAGCGCTTTTCAGTAAATCGTTCAAGGATTTGGAAAGGCATCGAAAACGCACTATAGATTTTGGTGGAAGTCTAGCCATTATCTCAATGATTACATCGTCAGGAAGTAGTACAATTTTCTTCTTGTTCTTCATCGCTGGTTCCATTCTCTGCTTCTCAACAGACTGCAATTGCAACTTGCCTGTAAATCCTTGGATAGCGGTTTCAGCTTCTTGTGATTTTGTTTTCTTTGGAGAGAAGATATATTATTATATATTCACATGCTTATGCTGTAGAAGCTTTAGGAATCCTAAATGTTAGCACAACTTGGATTTCCTAGCACAACTTGGATTTCTTTGGAGTCCAACTCAACTAAGCTTCTTTTAAAATTTATTTTTTTCTTTTTCTATGTTAATATAATTATACAAATTATATAGTTAGAGTTATACTACAATATTATTAGTTAATTAGGCTATGAATAGAATTGACTTTCATACTACAAAATTTATCTTCTTGCAACATCTTAAATTTCTGTTACAATATTCTCATTCAAGTTTCAACTCAAGTGAAAATTTCAACATTAAAAAATTAAACATTGAAATTTTAAATTGTTGTAAAAGTGTTTAGTACATTGTTAAAAACTAATTATTGATCATAATTCTATTAAATTTTTTTTACATAAAGATGTTTGATTTTACTAAGATATATATTAAAGGAGTTCCTTTAAGTTAATTAATATATATTATTTTGGTTTAAATTTAAAATGAGATCATATTTTAAATTTTCTTTTTGGCCTAACGTCGAACATATATTGATTCCTATGTTCAAGACGCAAGGTTACAAGCTTCCTTCAAAGCAGAACAGATAAGAAAGCCAAAAATAGAAAATCTTACGGGTTCTCATGGCAGCTAAGCAGTGACGATATGGGGAGAAACCCCTGCCCACACACCAGTAGAAACTGAAATACCTTGATAAGAACAGTCCCTCGCAATGAGCTGCTGACAGCTAAGCACCCAATTTAAAGAACATAAACAGAGCGAGATGGAGAAGACAAAGAGACAACCTTAATCCTGTGAAAGCCACCATGGAAGAAAGAGAAAACAGAGATATACTGGATGCAAGCAGAATAAAGCCCAACAGATGAAAGCACCAGAATCAAACAATGCAAACAAGGTTACATTACAGCAGCCATCTGACTTTTCCTTCAAATCAAAAGAACGAAGCAGAATGTCCACAACCCGCAACAGCACAAAGCATTAAGGCTTTCACAGCTGAGCGTTTCTTCTGAAGATATATAACTCAAAAACGTTGCCCACAATTGAGAAGCGGCAAGTAGTGATGCAATCCTCAATGAAAGAAAACCATGCATTTCGCCAATATGGATTTATGCAAAGACTAGAAAAGATTCCCAATAACACAGCTGCAAATGAAATCAGAAGGCTCACACAAAAAGCAGACATGTCCAGCAAATTGTCTTCTCCTTCATCATCTGATTCAGTTGATACCGTTGGTGGTGAATCAGTATTAGAGCAATTGTTATGCAATGGAGGTCCACAAAGAAGAGGGTTTCCCTCATAACTGCTTTCATCAAAGGTCCCAAACTGAGCTTTTCTTTCTGGAGTCTTACCCGACAAGTCATTGTGCGCCACGCTAAAAACCTCTAGAAAGTTCAACTCAACTAGTTGGATGGGAATTCTACCACTCAAGTTGTTGTAAGAAAGGTCTAAGCTCTCAATCTGCTTAAGATTTGAAAATGATGAGGGTATAACTCCGATCAATTTATTGTGTGAACAGTTTAATGAACGGATTTCACTCAAGTTTCCCAATTCAAATGGGATTTCACCAGTTAACTTGTTGCAAGATAAATCAATCCCAGACATGTAGTCAAGAATGTCACTTCCGTATCTATAGGACCCCCTCTTTGTCGTAAACTCTATCCATTCTTTCACTTTGCTTGAGAAAACCGAATGTGACCCTACTGATTGATCCATGTTCACTTCCATCCCGATGTATTTTTGTATATCCTGTTCTGAAAAATAATAGTAACCTCCAGATATAAGAGACTTGTCATAACTTGATCCAAAAGTTAAATTGCCCAAACAAGAAGGTATAGGACCAGAAAGCTTATTTTGAGAAAGATCTATGATGCTCAAGGAACACAATTTGCATAACTGAACCGGGATTCTTCCTTCAAGGTGATTAGCTTTCAAAAGAAGGACACTTAAACCGGAAAGAGTGTTAATCCATTCTGGAATGTTGCCAGTCAAGTTGTTTGCTGTAAGATCTAAAGTCACCAACGAAGAGCTGTTATACAAAGATGGTGTTAGTGGACCACTTAGTCTGTTTCTGCTCATGTGGACATGCTGTATATTCGGTGGATTGAAACAAGATGGTATATAGCCGGAAAAATTATTTTGGGAAAGGTCCAAAAATTCAAGTAGGTCCAAGTTGCACAATTCCATTGGAATGGAGCCCTCAAAGTGATTGTTGGACAAAGCCAATCTCTCCAAATATGACATATTCCATATCCATCTTGGAAGCTTGCCAGACAAATTGTTATTACTTAGATCAATTTCAGTTAAAAAATAAGGAAAGCCAACATTCAAGCTATCAATATCGGGTATCTCTCCAACAAAGTTATTCCCATCCAAATATAATTTTAAAAAATAATTTGAAGCGAAGATTGTTGGAACAACCTTTCCAGTTAGGTTGTTATTTGACAGCCTCAAAATCTTCAGTGAGCTGCTCATAGTTAACTCTTCTGGAACTCCTCCAGACAATTGATTATTTGATAGGTCTAATAATGATAATTGGCTCATACCACCTAAACAAGGAGGGATATTACCTTTGAAGGAATTCAAAGATAATAACAACCTTTCTAAATGAGGAAAAGTTGAACATATATATACTGGAATTTGAGCTTGTATTTTGTTATTAGATATGTCAATTGAAGAGACATCAGGATAAGGAATTGGTGGGAAGAGAGGACCCTTAAAAGAATTGCCCATCAAGAAGAGTTCTTCTTCCATTACCAACTTGTTTTCATCACGCAGGAGGATCTTGAGGTCAGTGAGGTTTGCAAGTGATATGAATGATAATGGTACTTGAAAATGATTTCTTGAGAGGGAGAGGAATCTAAGTGATGTGAGATTTGCTAAAGGAGCTAAACTTCCAGTGAATTGATTGTCGGAAATATCTAAGGCACGAAGAGATGTCAAGTTACCCAAACATGAAGGAAGACCCTGATGTACATTTCCACTGATGTCTAATTGTTTAAGGTTCCTTAAATCACACCAACCTGAAAAATATATAATTTTCATCAGACATTAATTGGTTATATTTTCATTCTAAAATATGGTAAGAGTTATTAAATTAAAGAAAGCAAGTAAAAGATTATTTAAGAGACATATCTCTAATATAATGTGGAGTATTAATTTGAGTCATAATTTACGTCACACAAAGATAAAGTTTTAAGAGAACTCAATATTCCAATGCTTTGCAAAATGTTGCTAAGTAAAAGGAGAAGTAATTAATCATAGGAGGTATGAAATGATCAGAAACCAATCACAAATATATTTGTTGATCACTAGAACACATATATATTTCATTCTAAGATTTAATGAGAACAAAAATTTAACCTCACAAATAAAAAAAAAAATTATTAAACGATATCTTTATGGGCTACAAATCCGTTCATCACATTATAGACAATATCTAATTCCTCTAAGTTGCTTTAAATCTAAATTTTGTATGCATTTATTTATTTTTTTCTTACCTAAATAAGATTGAATTAATTTCTCATTGATGGGACTTTTTTCTCGACCAAGAAAAGAAATTTTATTTTCCAGAGGGGAATAAGAAATAGCCCGAAGCATAACAAATAAAAAACAAAAAAGCCTAAAAGAAAGTTAATCATTACGCTATATGAAAAAGCGCGAATTTCAAAAGTGTAAATAATAAACAATATATATGGTTGTTATCCTTAATTAATGATTTTCTTATTAAATTAAAATATTTACTTATTTTTATTTATTTTCTTATTAGCATTGTAGTCCTTATCAAAGTAAATTTTCCTTAATTGTTAATTTTCTTATTAAATTAAATATTTACTAATTTTTATCTATCTATTACATATATTCTTTTCAACCTTAAAATTTTTATCGAAGTAAATTATTTTTGATAAAATTAAAATTTTATCTATATCAAAAATTAGAATCTTTTACTTTCTTGAATTATTAAAAGATTTAAATAATTTTGAGATTTGCAATGATGAGCTTCAATAGCAGTATCTACTTCCAACTAAAGCTTAATAATTGTGTGATCCAATTTTGTGTATTTATGCTTTTTGTTTTTTAAATTTCTCTTCATTAAAATTCTTAATATTTTTTGGATATGTATGGTTTATATTAAGAATGATATAAAGATTATAATTTTCATGAAACCAACCATAACATAAAATTTTACAAAAAGAGTCAATAACTTAAATTTAATTTTCTAAGTTTGGTGTATAACTAACATAATTACTAATCAATATAACTTGCTTCATTGAATTTATTTATTTGATAGTAATAACAATGATATATAATAAGTAACAATAAGTATTTTTTTTTTTTGAAAAGCTGAGTTGAATTTATTAATATGCAAAAGCAGACTAAGACTTACAGAAGGGTTATAGTCTGTAACAGCAGTAAATCACTGCTCAGATCCAGTGGAGTAAGATCCAACCGCGACAACAGGAAGAAAAATTAAAACACAGCAGGCACCAAAAAGGTAATCAAAAAGTCAGGAAGAAACAGGGGACACAAGGGAGATACATACAACAGGGTGCCCCAGACACTGGAAAAATAATATAAACAGGGAAGACAAAATCAAGCTCTTCTAAATGGGTCAACTTCAGCTGTCTTCCATTATCTACAAAAGATTTTTTACAAATATAATTTCGTTACATAGAAAAGCTTTACATGATATTTAGTTAAATGTAAATGCATACCTTGGAAGGATTGAAGGCTTTCAATTTTATTCCAACTTCTTCAAGTTTATCAAATTCAATTCTAATAATCTTTATGTCAATCTTGTTAGTAATTTGTAATTTTCACATATTTGATGTGAAAAGTCTTTTACTCAATAATTGACTTTAATGAAACAAATATGGCAAACCTGAAGTACCTATTGGATAATTTTAAAGGTTCTAAAAACTAAAAGGAATTAGAAGACAATAGCTTTACCTGCAATGTCTATTGAGCCTTGCAATTGATTGCTCCACATATACAAGGTCTTTAGACTCGAAATTCAGATGGTTTCGACCATCTATTCTTATTTCAGAAGGTAGGGTTGTTTTGATGAAACTCTTCTCATTCACTGTCAAACGCCACGCGTTCGTCAGCTTACCATCCATCTTTCTTTCTCAATCTTTTGCAACAAATTGACTGGAATATATTAGTAACTCACAAACGTACAAACAGAGTAGCTGTTTTTTTTTCCCTTTCAGACAATTCATCAAACAGTTTTACATGTGCGAAATGAAGTATAAATGAGGGATTGAATACCCAAACCTTATCCGGCACACTGAAGGAGAAAAGAAACGAAAAGAAGAAGGGAGATGTCTGTAAAATGAAAGAACTAGAACAAAAAAAACCAGTGAAAGGGAATGAAAGGAACAATTTTCCATTTCTGAATAATCAATCCAACCTTGAATAATCAACTGCTGTTTGCAATTTAGAAATATAATCATACAAAACCACAAAGAAATTAAAGAAACCCAACATCTCCTTAGGAATATCCAGAAAACTACAGTGAGAAAGTGACCGAATACCAGCAAAAACGCAGTGACGACGAAGGGAGAGGGAAGTAAGGAAACAGTGGCAACAAGCTCAAAGAACGGAAAACAAAAGAGGAAGAAATATGTGCAAAGCCCAGAATATATCCCTTTAAAAATACCAAAAGACTTAAACAGATGTCAGACTATGGAGGTACATGTTCATGAGATTCATTATATTAAGATTAAGATTAAGATAAGGTCCTCGTGAATGGTATGCAATCTATTCCTTCTTCCCCTTCTTTGTGCTCCCTGACTGTGACACCGGGATGCTTTGCTCATTCCAGAAGAAGTTGTCAGGATCAGTTGAAGTCTTTACACGAACAAGCCTCTTGAAATTATGGTTGAAGTATTTCAAGCCCCAGACGGCTGCTTGTGCGTAGCTTGTATGTCTTTTGTTGTTCCTTCCCAAATCAAGATCCCGGTAGTTGAAATAGGCAGCCCTGGGAGATTTGGAAACGTAAGGTTCCATGTACTTGTACAGCCTTCTCATCCAACCTAGATGCTTCTCTGTTTCCTCTGCAGCAGCCCAATCAAGAATGTACTGGATCCCATATAGATTCCCACTTCTGTGAGGGAAAGGAATTTCTGAACTTGATATTTGGCTCATGCTTCCACCGTAGGGTGTCAGGATCAATATCGAATTCTCTTCTTCGACAAGCATCTTGTATAGTCCTTCTAACCCTGATTCTGGAATTGGTTCCTTCACGTAGTCGGATTTGGCTTTGGAGAATTGGGTAGATGACATTGTCCGGTTAAGCAGAACATCTGAGGATTCTGTGATTGAGAAGCCAGCGAAATAAAGGACAGATTGGATCCAACTCATTTCAGTGCAGTTGTCTCGAGTTACTCCCAGCTCAGGGAAACCATCTTCTTGTTGTAGCAGCGAGAGGAGTCTTTCAGCAGTCCCAAGAAACAAGCAATCGAAGGAAACTCGAACAGTTTTGTTTCCATTTGAATTTGCACTAGGAACTCCCATAACTACATGGATGAAAAAGTCTTGATGCAGCTTATCTGCAACGGTTTGCCACTTGTGGAGAAGTTTAGTTGCTCCTTGTTCCAGTGTCTTTCCAATGCTGAACACTGTAACAGTTGGAGGAACACGAACCAACTTAACTTTCCATGAGAAAATAACTCCAAAGCTCTGTGCTCCACCTCCTCTGATGGCCCAAAAAAGATCTTCTCCCATGGACTTTCTATCAAGAATATTTCCATTAACGTCAACTATCTGGGCATCAATGACATTGTCAGCTGCTAAACCATATTTTCTGAATATGGTACCAAATCCACCTCCACTGATGTGTCCCCCTACACCTACAGTGGGGCAACTGCCCGCGGGGAATCCATGGAGATTACTTGAGCCAGCAATGCTGTAGTACAATTCACCAAGAGTTGCACCTCCCCCAACCCATGCGTACTCATTTTTGATGTCTAAACTAATAGACCGCATCTGGAAAAGATCTATAATTATAAATGGAACATCAGATATGTAAGAGAGGCCTTCATAGTCATGTCCTCCACTTCGAACTCTAACATGCAAGCCATGTTCCTTGGAACAAATTACGGCTGCCTGGATGTGAGCTTCAGAGTCTGGAGTGACCAAGTATTGGGGTTTCGAAGCATTCAGAAACCTTAAATTCCTTATGGAAGATTGCAATATAGATAAATACTGAGAACTGTTTTGGCTGAAGATAACATCAGAAGTTGTGTTGGAAGGCGGTGAGTGAGAGTAAAAGCATTGCAGAAAGCTTTCCTTGGTCGAATTTGAAGCTGAAAAGCAAACTGAGACAGATAGGAAGAGAAATAATGTTAGTGCTACCATCCCGGACCCTGGAATCTCCATCTTCAGAGGATAATGTGAATTGATTCAGGAAATGGGCAGAAGAAAACTTGCATATATATATTGCTACAAGTTATTGAAATTACGTACTCAAGATGAATTTGAAGATTGAATTCCTGATATCTTTATCTATACAGACTGAAAAATTCAAAGCAAAAATGGAGATCCCCAAGCGCAATGCAAGAAGATTCTTAAATATATGCCTAAAGGGAGCATATTTTCAACGCATGTACTCCAACAAATATAAAAACTAAACGGGTCAAATTTTAGGAAGTTGCCCCAAAGTCTAAACAAAGGAATTTGCCGCTTTGACAAGGACTATATATCATGTTCGCCAGCCAAGCTTGTAGAACGCAGGCTTGTTGCTTGACTGGCATCTTTTATAAGGTAAAGTAAACTAATAGAAAGTCAACGGTAAATATCTGTTACAAATGGTCTACAAGATCCTTGATCTTCTAGATATGACTTTTGTTGCCAAACTTAAAACTTGCTGCGATCATCATCTACGAAGTACTAGTAGATGTAACTGTCATCTATGAGGTTATTTTCTCTTTCATGTTCTTAATATACTTAATAATTAAGCTACTAAACTATGTCTTAGACTCTTAGAACAAAAAATAAATGACGAAGGTTATCCATAGCTATCATAGTTACGAGACCCACAT